ATCTCTTACTATGTGCTTCATTCTCTATAATTTCATTGTTTTTTCTTGCCATCTGCGACTTTGTCAACATGTCAATATCTACTCCCCCAGCTTGGAATAGGGAAGACAACATTGCTGTTTCAGCTCTCACACTAACTTAATGCCTAAAAAAAAACAAAAAAAAACGGATCATTGTCATTTTTTAAGTTATGTAACATTTAAGTTGTTTTAACTTGAAGTTTTATATATACCTTTAATATCTTCACTTTTTTATACATAAACTTATTTACCTTGTCATAAATGGAATCCACTTATCTAAAACATTATTCAGACTGAGTTGAAAGCAAATCTTGGTTGAACCATACAACTTTTTTTTCTTTGCAGTAGGAGACTCAAAGTCTGAATCATAATCTGTTTAACTACCCCCAGTGGAGAATTCCTGTTCAAAATTTCTCAAAGCTTCTTCTTCTGCTGCTTTTTCAAGTAATTGGCTTTCTCTTTTTTTTTTGCTGAACAATTGCTCTCAGACTCTCATCTTTTTGCTATTCTTCTACCATTTTCTTCGGCGGGTTTTTCATCTCTTCCTCACCTTCAGTAACAATTTCAACAAATGTTTTGTCATTTTTGTAGGATATCTTGACCATGTCCCCTTTCAAACATCTCTTTAAAAGAATTGAACCCTCCTTTACAGCCTCTTTTCTTTTAGGATCATGGCTAATTAGCTTAAAAATGTTTTCTTTGTGTATAGGAAACAAAATATTGGCCTTGTCTAAAAACCCTTGAGTTTGTTGGCTCATGGTTTCTTTGCTTATCTCATCTTTAAAACTTTAATATACTTGGTATACAGAGGTTCTGTTCCTAAAATAAATACAATACATTTTACTTATTAAGTCGCTTACTTAATAAAATCATTAATATTACTTGATAAAATTTTATCATCAGTTCACTGATGAAATTTTTTTTTATCAAAACCTGCCTTGTTCCAAATGTTAACTAGCTCCCTTATGATGCACACATTTGATATTTCGTTTCTACTATCAGTATAACACATACCACCACTGCATTTAAGCTTGCCTGTACTCCCCAAAGGACATCCAATTTAGGATGACATTGTTTTGATTGCAGATGCATTACTCCGGTCAATCAAGTAAGTTCTGTGACAAACTTTCCAACTGGTTGGAGGTCTATTTAGAAGAAATATCTGGAAAGGGTACCCCAATAGATCAGGGTTGTCCAACCTTTTTACAGCCTGGGCCATTATTTTATTTTGATGACAACACGAGGGCCACAAATTAAGAAAAATCATTTTGTTTAAACTTCTAATTTAAAACAACTAATTCCATTTCAATATTGTCAAAAAAAATGTATTTAATGGGAAACTTGGCATTGTTTATTTTTACACAATTGATCAATGTCAGCTTTTATAGTGGACGATGAAATCCGAAGTGTATCAGTGAGGTGTTCATCTTTCAACCTATGTCTCTGCTCTGATTTAACATGTTTCATTCTTGAAAAAAATTGTTCACAGATGTATGTGCTTCCAAAAAGGGAAAAGTATTTCATAGCGTGTTTGCACAAATGTGGATAAACTTCAATGTTCATGTATTTTTTATAAAGTTCTAACAATTCAACATCTTTGTAAGCATCTTTCAAATCTTTATTGTTTTGTAGTTCTATTAATTCCATTTGAAATTCATCTCTTACTGTCTCAACTTTAATGGAAAATGGATGTGAAAATAAGTCTAACTCATTCTTTACTTCTTTAAAATCACAAAATCTTGTGTCAAATTCATCAATTACTTTTAAAATAAGATTACAATATTTTTCATAGTCAACTGTGTTGGTATTTCTTTCTGACAATGTTTTAAAATGGATAAGTGATTTTTGACTTAATTGTTGTTTGAGAAGTTTCAATATCAAAACAAATGTTTCTACATTTTCATATAATTTACTAATAAGTTGATCTTTACCCTGCAACTTGATATTTAATTCCATTAACATCTGTGTAATGTCAACTAAAAATGCCAAATCATTCAGCCAGTCATTATTTTCAAGAAAGCTTGTGTCTTTATCTTTAATTTTTAGAAACTTTATTATTTCAGGTATTAATATCCAAAATCTTTTCAAAGTTGCAGCTTGACTAAGCCATCTAACTTGGCAGAAATAAATTACATCTTCTGCCTCACTTCCACAATCCTCAAGCAATTGTTTGAACTGTCTGTGATTAAGGCCACGACTTCTTATAAAATTAACAGTTTGGATAACAATTTCCATGACTTCTTTCATTTCTAATACTTTTGCACATAACTGTTCCTGATGTATAATACAGTGATATGAAAGAATGTTGTGATTAATGGATTTCTTAAATAATGCCACAAATCCAATATTTTTTCCTTTCATTGAACTTGCTCCATCTGTAGTGACACCAGAGAGTTTTGTTTCTGGCAAATCAAACTTTATCATTGTTTTTTTGACTTCAGAAAGAATATCTTCCCCTTTAGTAGTGCCTTTCATGTGCCTGAAATCCAACAGTTCTTCAATTATTTCAAAATTACTTGTTATAAATCTAATAAAAATAGCTAACTGAGCCGTATCACTTCTATCTGTTGATTCATTAAGTGCCAGACTATATGCTTCACACTTACATAGTTTTTCTTTCAATGCTAATTCAATATTCTTTGATAGATCTTCAACCCTTCTTGCAATTGTCTGGTGTGAAAGACTGAGATCTTCAGCAAATTGTATTTTTTCAGGGCATACCTCATTACAAAATTGTTTTATAGAGTTTTTTATTAAATCTCCAGTAGAAAAAGGTTGACCACTTTTTGCAATATTTTCTGCAATTAAAAAACTTATTTTGGTAGCACTGTATGAGCTAATTACTTTACTTTTCATTATTGATTGTTGCCCGATAAAATTTTTCTTTAGCAGTTCTACCTTATCAACACGAAATTGGCCCTTGAATTTATCATAAGTTGCTGCATGTTTTGTAGTATAGTGTCTATTAACATTATACATTTTGCACACGGCAATTTTTTCAAAACAAATGAGACACATAATTGAATTATTTTGCTCCATTACAAAATATTCATTTGTCCAAGATGGGTTAAATATACGACCTCCTCTTACACTTTCAGTTTCAGCTCTACGTTTTTTATTAGCACTAGCAGAAGCCATATTTAAAAAAAAATCAATATAACTATGGTTCCGCTAACCAAATAGTCAATACCGTTTTAACCGGTTTTATAAAAAAAATAAGGCGGTAGTTTTAACCGTGTTGCAATTTTAAAAAAAATCTGATTTTTAAAATTATATTAAAAAACTGCCCTAATTCTGAGCTACAGAAAAAATAGTTTTAAAAATATAATATTCACTTGATTTTGTTAAAAGTTTTGAATGGTTTTTGATAAGTTAAGAATTGAAAACGCGGGCCATGGCAAAAGACAACGAGGGCCACTTTCTAACACCCGCGGGCCACGCGTTGGACAACCCTGCAATAGATAAAGAATTCCTCTTCCACTAGCTTTTTTAACATGCCCTGCACTAGCCATATTAAATATTATTTTTTATATTATAAAATACAACAGAATTGATCTCAAAATATACAATGTTTTTTTTATATATTTTGCATATATGTAAAAGTTGTCATTAATTTAATTTATATTACTTAAATTAGAATTTAGTAGCAGGATACAATATTTACTGCTATTATTTTTCAACATCCTAATAACTGATAGTTTATTAAAAATTTATTTTTCGTATTTCTTAATATATTTGCAGAATTTTAATGATATAAAAAAAAAACTCTGTTAACTAATTAAAATCTGTATGACACTTTTTTCTAAAACACCTTCTTCAGCTTAACAATGACTTTGAGGCCAGATATATTTATGGTGATCTACTAGATATATTTATGGTGGTCTACTAGATATTTTTATGGTGGTCTACTAGATATATTATGGTGGTCCTACTAGGACCAAATAAAGAGAATTGACACAATATTAAGTTCGAAATTGTTTTTTTCCTGGGACACCCTAATATATAGTGTATCAATAATCATTAGTTATAAAGAAGTTTCAGCTATTTAAAAATTTATAGATTTATAAGAGTATTGTGGAAACCGTCAAAAAAGTTTTGTTAAAAAATTAATACATTTTTTTTTTTTACATTTATAATTTAAGAATAAAAATAAATATAAAAAAATATGTAATATGTGTAAGTAATCGTTTACACTTTTTAAAACGTTATTTAAAAACAATGTATGCAGTTAAAATGGATTAGAGTATCAAACTAATTCATTCAAATTTTAATTGCAAACAATTGTTTTTTATTCTTATTTTCTCTACTTTATCACACATAAATAAGAAGCAATTTAAATAGGAAAAAACTTAGTTAACTAATTATTATTTAAAATTTGAAAATGTAAAAATATTCCTTTTTGGTATGTAACCAAGAAAAAAATAATTTTAAAGATATTTTTGTATCTAAAAATGTCAAACTTTTTTTTACTTATGTCAAGCCTTAATTTGCTCACAAAAATTAAGTTAGAAAACCATGGGCGCAACCCATGAGTTGCAATCATTGTCAGAATGCTATAAACTTTTTTTGATAAGGCCACAACTCTCAAGATCACAAAAATCCTGTATAGATTTTTTTCTTAATAACACCCTGATATACATTTGTATATATACATATGCATCTTTATAAATATAAACGCATGCATATATATATAAATACACATAAACATACATATAAATATAATATATAAATACAAACATAACACAAAGTACTTTCAAATATAGTTAAAATTTGTTTAGAGTGTAATGAAAGAATGGATTCTGATAAAAATAGAAGTTTGGTATGCAAAATATTTTAATATCATTATAATATTTATATTTATTATATTGTTGAAATATTAAAGTAATAGTTTTTATTATTTTCCTTGTCTTTAAAACAATTAATTTTTAATTAGGAAAATACTTTAGTCAAATGTTTAAATAAAAATTGTGATTTTTATGGAAGCCCAGAAAGAAATAATTATTGCTCAGCTTGCTTCAAAAATTTATCAAAAGGTATTATATGAGTTATTCAATTACTTTTATTGTAATATTTAACTGCATTCCAAATATACTTAGAGATTCCAAATCATTATATTTCAACCAATAGCCTGTCGATCATCATCTGATTTTCCTAATTTTTACATATTGTTTTGTGCATTATGTAGATTGGATAAATTTGAAATTTCAGACTTCCAAATACAACAGTTCAGAGATTATAGCCTTTGAAACATGATACAGTATCCCCCCTCAATTTATAAATGGTCAAAATAGACTACTTTAGAGCTGTATAACTTTTTTCTCGCTTTCAACAAGTGTCTCATTTTTTCTATAACTATTTTTTGAATAGTTCTCTCTTTAAAAAAGTGATTTTTATTAACTTGTACTTGATTAGAGAGAAATTATGACCTCCTTAACTTTGGAAAAAAGCCTAAAATTAGTTAAAGATGTCAAAATGAAACTAACTGTAGCATTTTTCTATTCATCTATAAGTCTTTACAGACAAGTTTTCTGATTAGCTCTGCAATAAATAAGCAAAATATAGGCAGCATTTTTAAATAACCAGACCACATACAGACAACTGATCACCTATAATAAAAATGAATTTAAAGAAATAACGCTTTCAATTTAAAATTAATTTAGACATTTAGACATTAAGTATTTAAGTATCTAAAATAGTTTAGAGACCTTTATTTAAACCATAATGAAGGTCTCTAAAAAGTTACTGCCCCCTTTATTTGTGCCTCTATCTACTATAAAAACCAAAGCAAGGACCAAGGGCAGCCAACCATAATTTTCTTTTTATTAAGAAATGACTTACATTTAATTTCATCTTTCGCATAGGCCAGTAGCCAGATTCAATAGGCACTGGTTTCTAGTAACACATATAACAGTTAATAATTGAAAAATAGGATTATTTAAAAATGCTGGTATTTTTGGTGTGAATTGAACAAGTTTATAATGCATTTTCAGATGGTTGGGTCTGATGGTCTTATATGCTGTTTATCTTACACCAAAACAAAGTGTTAGAAATATTTGCTGCTTACAAAAACGTATTTTATGGGGTTACAACTCTGTTTCAAAAAAAATGTCACTCTTCCCAATATCTTACTAGAATTCATTCTAATTATTTATATAAATTTTTACAACTATAGAATACTACTAGTAAATCAATGCTAATTTATTCTACTGATAATAATACGCATTTTAAATGCATTTAAAAATTTTCATGTAAGAAACTGTATAAAATAACAATAAAATAAAATTCCAAGGTTGTTTTATATTTGGACAAACTAGATATATGTCTGGATTTAGAGTCAACATTGCAAGGTTTTTATCTTATATTATAATACTATTATTTTATATAATATTATAAAACCAATTTAGTTACAATTTTTATATTAATTTTTTACAACACTATTTATAATAATATTTAATGTTTACAACACTATATTATAATAAAAGTTTTATGGTTTTAATGATTTTGTTTAACAGTTCAAAATGTTTAAATGTTTATTGTTGCTCTAAAAAGATGTCTGTAGGTGTATTGCCAATATGATTGTATAACAAAACTTGGTTTTTCCATATTTTAATGATTTTAAGTTTAAATGTTTTTTTAAGAATAATGATTTTGACTGATGCAATGATGAAATCATCTTGTTATTTTAAAAATTTGTTTAGATAAAAGTGGTGTGATGTGTGATGCAAACAAAGATTTTATTTCTAGTTTACACAAACAGTATTTTGATCCGATGCCACTAACTTTTGAGAGAATGCAGCAAGAGGCCGAGCAACTTGGCTTAAGTTATGGATATACAGGTCAATTAAATCCCCGCCAAAAACTCATTTCGTATATGTATCAATCTGATAATGCAAATCGTTGTCCATTTAAAACCACTTGGTACAAATTTTTGTAATTAAATGTAAAAAAATCTATAAATCAAAGGTTTTATTTTTTAAATGTTATTGATGTTTTAATTTCTTTTATCTCTTAAATGCTTGGTCTGCTTGTTTTTTATTGTCTATTAACAGCCAATGCTTTGTTATCTTATTTTCTATTTTTATTTTCTATAAGCAGCCATGGTGCAGTGGTTAGAGTTCTGGCTTCAGAACTGGAGGTCTATGGTTTGAAGCCAGCTCAAGCCATATATGCATCACTGGTAAAGAAGGAGGTGTGAACTTTCTAGTTAAATGTCATTCTGCGGTGCTCTGTGTTATAACTGTAAGAACTTCTTGGAGCACCTAAATAACTATGAAAAAAAAATTTTTTTCCTAAAACTTTAAATGTTTATTATATTATTTGTGTTTATTATATTATAACTGGTTATTACATTATTAGTGTTTTTCACTTATTATTTTTATTAGTTATTACATTAGTGTTTATAAGTGGTTATTACATTATTAGTGTTTATTATATTATTATTTCATTGATTCTCAATTATGTTTTGTGTATTATAAGTTTTATTTATTATTGTTCTAATATTTTACTTATTTTAAAAGTTTTATATATATTTTTATAACTTTTATAATAGTTGGAACTTATTAAAAGACAAACTTTTTGTTTTTGTTTTGTAAGTTTTGATGTGGCTCATTTATATTTATTATTTAAAGTGGCATCATTATTTGCATAAAGTAGAATTAAATTTGGATAATTCTAATTATAAACAGTTTTAAGAGGATTCAACAAGTTGTGTATTCTAATTATTTATTTTAATTTTAATAAAATCTATAAAATCTATTATTTATAATTAAAAACATATTCTTTATTTAAATAATTATTTTACTTACAATCTTGTATAATAAAAATTAAAAATGACACAATTTTATCATGTGTTCTATAGTTTCATGATTTTGTGTGATTTTTGTAACACTGATGTTTCTTAAATTAAAACTTCGATTCTAAATCTGAAAAAATATATAAAAATTTGAAGAATATTTTGCAGTTTATTGCTATCCATTCATCATTGTTATGTTTTTTATATTTTTATTATTTCATATATTGTTTATTCTGAATGAATGGGTTATCTAATAGTTTTTATTTAATTTTTGAATAATTTATGAATTTTATTTCCAATAAAAATTTTTGATTTAATATTGTATATTTTAGCATGCTATTTGGACAAAGTGGTGTTGGAAAGTCCTCGTTTATTAATCATTTGATTGGACATGATTTATTGAAAACCAATGCTTATACATCAGAAACAAGGTGTTTGTTTTTTTTTGTTTATAAAATTTTATAGCAGAGGTATCAATATAAACTTTATTTTAAATGTATAAATAAAAGTTTATTAAATTAAATTTTATCTTTATTAAAAAGATTTAATAAATTTAATTTTATTTGTATAAATAAAAATTTAATAAATTTAATTTTCAATGTGTGAATAAAAGTTTAATTTTATATTTATGATAATTTAATTTTTAATGTTTTTTTTTTTTTTTTAATATGAGTTTTAGTTTTTAAAGTTATGACAAATTTTATGATTAGTAAATAATAAAAATAAATTAAAAAGAAATAATTTTTTTTAGTTTTGAAAAATAAAAATTTTTGTTAAGAAAGTTCTTTAAAAAGTTAATTAAATTAATAATGTTTGATAATATAGGGTATTATATTATTTAGATGTTATAATTATTATGTCCAGAATGTCTCACTCTACATCATAACACAAGTCTGTTGATCTGAGAAGATTTTTTAACCAGTACCATACAAAAAAGGAATCTTTCAATACAAAAAAATAACATCAAATCATTTCAATTATAACAATAATATTCATGTTATATAAATAATAATAAAATAAACTTTTTTAAATTTCTTTTCTTTCCTTCGCTGCCTTTTAATTAAAAAGAAGCCATTTTCAATATTATAAAATATGCTATGTAAAATTATGTTCTATAGAAAAAATTCAATAACTCATTTATACTTTTTTAAATTAAAAACTTGCAGAAATTGGGTTTTTTAAAGATATTTTTTTATTTTATGAACTGTTATAACCAACATTTTTGAAAACATAAACATATTATAGTAGCTAGCTATAAAATAAAAAGTTTTAATTTAACTATTTTTAACAAAAAGTTTTTTCACAATGATATTTTTGGAAACCAAATAAATTAAAAATTCATTCAATAAGATTTTTTAAGATAAATATACTTATAAAAAAATATTTTTATTATTATTTAATTCTATTTTTAATTAATATTTTTCCTTTAGGTCTATAAAGACATATTTTGTAATGAATATGTTTAATAAAATTTTTAATACTTGATTCTAAAACAGCACCAATTTTTTTGAGTTAAATTTGAAGGCTGTTAGCTTTTCTAAATATTGCTAGATTTTCAATGATATTAAATTGATATTGAGTATGATGACATCAGCTGTTGCTTTATACAAGGTTTTGGCAAACTTATAAAACTAACAGATGCCAAAGAATTTGTTCCCACTTGAGACGATGGTCCAGCTATCAGCTGTCGTATTCACATCTCTCTGTTAAACTATCAGAGAATTTGAGTGTCCGTTAAGAAACAAACTCTTAACGGCCTGTTATAAAATAAAGGTAAATGTTATTTTAATTCTTCTGTTTAGACTCTGTTAACTGCTCTGATAATTCTTTTAGTTAAAATTATTCCATTAGCCAACTAGTTTTCATGCTGTTTTTCTCATCACATTTAAACATTGCGGTGCCAACAGACAGCTTGTGATTTTTTAAATAATGGTTGCTGATAAATTCTCTAAGTTTAATTTAAAAACGCTATGATACGAAAAAATCATAGAGTTTGTGTCTACTTAACACTTAATTTCACTTTTTTAAACTTTATGTTTATGCTTCTTCACTCTTATGGGTTAAACATTTTCTCATAATTCTATTTTCTTTGATTTTTGCAAACAGATCAAAGTATTAAAACCATATAATTTTATTGCAACTCATTTCAAAAAATAGCAATTATCTTTATTGCATTAGAGTGGAGGTTTTATTTTCCTCTTGTTTAAACTATATATTAACTTCAAAATAAGTTATTTCACTGTGTACCCTATACTGCGTTCTTTTTGTTTAATAAATTGACAACTAATTGTTCAAAAATTATTTTATTTTTGAAAATGAACTTTTCTTAAGCTAAAATAAATCTTAAAATAAAAAATGTTACTTAACTTTTTAATTATAATAATAATCTCTAAAAAAAAAAAAAAAAAAAAATTATCTCAAAAACATACAAAAATTAAATTAAATAATATTTAATATAAAATGCTACACAAAAAAACATAGATATTTTTGTAAAAAATTGTGCCCTTATTCTTTTTGCTTAGTATCATTTTAACAGAGAAAGTTTCATGAAACCTCTACAAGGTTTTATCTTATAGCATATAGAAAGCATAGAGCATATAGAAAGCTTTATTGGCCACCCAATTCTTGTTTTGTTGCTACAGTCCTGTAATACAGGACTGTGTACATATAATACAGTGGTATGATACAATCATACTGTGTATGATTATGTAATTCAAATACATAGTTTGCAAAGGCAAAAACAAGTTAGAAATATCAAAATTGTTTCTTTTAAATATCACTTGATATATTTTATTAAAAATTTATCTTTTTAAGATCATATCTTTGTAAAATAATTATTAGAAGGGAGGGGGGTAGGCAAAAATCCATGCTGCTATCTTGGCCGCAGCATAGAGATTTTACCATGTGCTTTTTATAAAATACCTTTTACCATGTTCCTTTAATAAAGTTAATATTGTTAGCTGTTTTATAAAACTTACATACAAAATGCAAAAAAAATTTTGATATGTTCGGCTTTTATCATTTATTATAAAACTAAACGGGAACTTATAAACCAATATATCTTTCAATAGAAAGAATTTAATTTTTTAGTCATTGCTATCCAAGAGTTTCTCAAATCGGCAACAGTAAAAATAACGAAAATATATAAAACAAAAAAACAAAAAAAAAATGAAAAAACAACAAAAATATGAAAAAAAAAACAAAAAACATTTTTGTTCAGTACTGTGTTTACAAGCTAGCTAACATATTTAAAAAGTTTACAACAAGGAGGTAATCCACTGTTTTAAAAGGCCGTAGTCCTCCTGTCTTTAAGGATTGTGAAATCGGAACTGTGGAAATCCTTAAAGGTTCAATAAGTAGAGTTAAAGATAAAGACAAAGTCACAATTTTCGATAAAAATTAGTGTGGTGTTTGTGACAAGAATATAGGCAGCAAAGACGCTATATACAGTTTGAAATCTGCTGCAAGTGGCATCACTGTAAATGTGTAGGGATTACAAATGAGTTCTATGAAGTTTTTAGTTCAAATGACCAGACACATTGGTTCTGTAAAGGTTGTAACTCTGGTGCCTGTAAACTAATTACAGGAGTTAAGAGATTACAAGATAAAGTTGAAGGTTATAAACTATCACTTATCAAACATATGGAAGAAAGAAAAAAGAAGATAGACAATAAATTTTTTCTAGAATTTTCTATTTATCTAGAAAAATTTGATACAAAAAAACACAACATTCAAAAAGAATTAAACTCTAAAGAGAAAAATAGTCTGAAGTCATTTCTCAACAGCTAGGTAATGAGTTAAAGACCAAAGAAATAGATGTTGACAAGATGCAAAATGTTCTACGACAAGCTCAAGAGAAAGCTAGTGAAATAATGAACAAGGATATTCGTAGAAATAACATAATACTGTTAAGAGTACCAGAAAGCAACAAAACCTCAGCTGATGAACAATGCCAAGAAGACAAAAAAATTTTGCTTTGAACTTTTCAGTGTAATTAGTTCAGATATTGTTAAAGAAGATATAATTAAAGTGATCTGGCTTGGAAAAAAAGATGAGAATACATTAGTTCGTTCAAGTCCATTATTAGTAAAAATTAAAAATCAATTTCAAAAAACCTTGTGATGAAGAATCTAAGTAAACTTAAAAATGCAGATACTAAGTATAAGTCAGTCAAAGTGGCTTATGATTTAACAATAAAAAAAATAGAATATCTCAAAATTTTTGTTGAAGAGAAGGAAAAAACAGTAAAAAAAATTTTTTTGAGGAAATGGATACATGTGGTAAGAGGCAGACCAGAACGAATGAAAATCATAAGGTTAAAGAAATCTTGGGGAAATATATAATTGATAGAGTTTGCACAAATAAAATTGACCAAAATAATGAAGCCCTGTTATCTGATTATATTGATGAATCACCGTTATTATGTTTGTACTTAAATGCAAGAAGTTTGATTAATAAAATGAGTGCTTTCCAAGCAACTATCTATACTTTACAACCAGATATTATTGGGATAACTGAGGGTTGGACTACAGATAGTGTATTGGATTCTGAACTTGAATTTGCTAATTACATACTTTTTAGTCATGTTAGACCAGTCAAAAAGCGAGGGTGAGGTGTGTTACTAAATATCAAAACAGTACGGCTACCTGTTGCATATTAGCCCAAGTCTAACTATCCTGAGCATATATAGTGTAGTATAACTGGTTTACAGAATGACAATCTACTCATTGGAGTCTGCTACAGAACAAACAATGTTGATATATTTGGTAAAAAAGTGGATAGTCTACTGAGAGATCTTCTTCATGAAGTCAGTGTACATAGAATATACTGGAAGGGGTTAACTTTGGCTATACCAGGTGCTTCACAGAAAACTCAACTATTCTGTTAATACGTCCAAGATACATTTTTAATTCAATGTTTCTGAACCCAATAGAGATAAAGCTATTCTAGACTTGGTTTTTAGCAATGAACATGATTTGGTAAGTGATGTTCACAACCTCAATACATTGGGGGATAGTGATCATTCAATGATAACCTTCAACATCCATATGAAATCAGTAGCAAAATAAAATTTTAGAACCATATTTGACTATAATAAAGGAAAATTTGATTGCATTAGACAGGAGTTGCAAAAAATCAATTGAAATTTAAAACTAGATTATTGGTCAACATTTAATTCAATATTGCTTGACTTAGAATCAACATATGCTCCAAAGCAATTGATCAACACCAATCCTAAGTACAAAAAACTCTTATGGATGACTTGTAAATAGCCAAAGCTATCAAAAGAAAAAGGAAATTATATTCTAGACACAAAAACAAATCTCATCCTGCAGTGGTTAGTGTAAATAAAAAATGCAAACGGTTAATTAAGAAAGCAAAGATTGACTTTGAGTATAAGCTGGCATGAAATATCAAACATGATTCTAAA